CCGCGCGTAGTGCAGGCGTGGCCTCTGCATCCGCTGCTGACAGCATGAGCTCTGTCCCCCGTGGGACTGAAGTCATGCTGTCATGATCAAGACACACATGTCGGCTTGCTGCGAGAGAAGACTTAAAAGGGCTTCTCCATGCGTTAGCATTTTCAGAGAACCACGTGTCCTCATCTTGGACCTGTGTCCAGTCCCCAGCATTGCTACACTTATCAATAAGGACAGAGGCCTCACTCCACGCTGCAGTCGTGGGTTTGGACAAAGCTATGTGCAAAGTGGGGCATAGTGGGTCGATAAAATGTTTTTGTTGCTCATTAAGTAACACAGATACCATAGAGTAGTGCCTATCCCAATAAACATACTCCGTTTGTAGCCTATCTTCGCTACACTGAAGCCATGAATTTTCAAACTCCAAGTTATTGTCTGGGAACGACCGGAGAGAGCAGCTTAGGTCGTTCGCGTGGTTGACCTCCAAATTTTGTGCGGGCGTAACTCTATCCACTATTGTGGCTAATAACTTAGCAATCTCAGGGTTTGGTGTCAATTTCCAGTGGTAGTTAACTTTTGGGACCGGTGCCTCCTTGTGCATGCCGGTGAAACATGGAGCATTTGCTAGGTCACTAGCGTGTACCACCCGTAGGCCGCTTGGTGTTGAGAGCAGATTTAAATTGAGTCTGCACATAAGGTCTCGGCCTAGTAGATTAACCGGGCACAATGGGGAATATAGAAACGAATGTTTAAGCTGGTTGCCCTGAGAATCAAAACACGTTAGCGGTGACGTAAATTGCTCTTTAGTCGTCTCTCCCGACGCTGCTAATGAGAATGTGAAGCGGCCACTCATTTTAGGGGAGACAGAAAGGCTGTTACTTTTTAGCACAGAATTTGTTGCCCCGGAATCAACTAGAAAAGTAACTTTTTGGCCACAGATTGTTAGCGTATGTTCTGGAAATTTAGCATGAATTTTCTCAAAAAATGTGTACGTGCCGATTGCAGTTGGTTCAAACTTACGTGAAAGATAAGTGATCGCTTCGGTGACGTGTATGTGTGCGTTACCCGGTAGATGAGTCTTCCGTACGGTTTCCTTCGTGGCTCCCCTGTGTTCACCGCCAGCCCGCTGTCTGTCCCCGCCTAGTCAGTCCGCCTCGTGGCGCATCTGGTGGTTGCCGTGTTGTGAGCCTTCATAGCGGTGCTGTTGTCCGTGTTGACTCTGTTGTGCCTGGTGCCAATGGTGTTGCTGCTGGTACTGGTCCGGCTCTCGGTTGTGGTTTTGTTGCCACTCCTGCGGGACGTTCTGGTTCTGCTGCCACTGCTGCTGGCCGCCCTGCCGCGGCTGCCACTGGCCGCTCTGCTGCGGCTGCCACTGCTGCTGGCCGCCCTGCTGCTGGCCGCCCTGCCGCGGCTGCCACTGCTGCTGGCCGCCCTGCTGCTGGCCGCCCTGCCGCGGCTGCTACTGCTGCTGGCTGCTCTGCCGCGGCCTGCGACAGTCTCTTGCCCTGTGGCCAACCTTTCCACAGTTCCAGCATATCCACGTTCCGTTGTTTTTCTCCCATCCCTTTTTGTCCTTTTTGGAAATGTCATTGGGGTTTAAGGAATTAGGGGCTTGGACCGACAGCAGTGTAGCCTGACTTTTAAATGTTTCCAAACAAAAAATTGCATGTTTGGCGTGCATAAGTAGATCCTTTATCTGTGGTCCGTCATCGAATGCGACATACGAGTCCCGCACCTTTAAAGCCACCTCTGGTAACAGTCCTTCGACAAATCTGGAGCATAAATAACCGTTGTAAACGGGATTGTCCTTCTCCTCCCCGTCCGTTGCACCTGGGAGCTTCGGGGGTACACCAGAGTGTTCATTGAACACAGACAACAGGCGGCTATAGTACTCCTCGACCCTTTCGCCTTTTTCCTGCTTGCATTTAGACAGGATGGTTAGGTCGTATTTGCGTGGAAAAACTGCTGCCAGCCCGTCACACATTTTCTTTATGGCAGTCAAATATGCTCCGGAGTCTGACTCCACAATCTCTTTAGCCCGTAGTCCTGGCTCTGGCAAATATGGCTGAAATTTCCCAAAGTCCGCAGGCGACATCTTGTAAACGAGAACCCGAGCGCACTCCGCTCCTGAGGGCTTGTATTCGCGACAGAAAGCGAGCAGGTCTTCGCTGAATTTTGAGCAGTTTGTCTCTGGCCGTGTAGACAGCAGTTGCGAAGCGGATAGAAACTCGCTCGGCCCCCAGGGTCTGAAGACCAGCGCCGGTCCTTCTCGGCCCACCATCTCTATCATGGGGAAAGTGGCGACGAAGTGATTTGTGGGCCTCGGTTCCCGCCGGAGCGTTTCCCTGCTCCATCGCGGCTCTGCTTCTGGTGCTTCTCCTTCTGCTGCTGCCGGCGCGGGGCCCACTTCCTGTGGGGCGTCAGCAGATGCGAGAGGCTTTGTGAGGCACTGACGTGGTTGGCTCTGGCGCGGCGGTGTTTCAGGCGTAGGACAGGGGCCGGTTTCATACAGCGGGGCCACGGAGGAAAGCGTGGACAAATCTGGGTAGAGAGAGAGAGAGGGCACAACAGTAGTCTGCACATTTTTTAACACAGCGCTTTGCTTGGGCGCGTACTTAGCATGGAGTTCTGCTCCTTCTGTGAAAGGGTTAGTAGGTGAGAAAGGGCGGTAGGGTGGGGGGTGTGTGGGATGTGTGTGTGTGTGTGTGTCCGCCTGTGTGTCCGCCTGTGCGTCCCCCCCTTCCGTGGAAGGCGGAGCAGCTATGGCTTTATTCGTCTTTTTGCGGTCCCGTTCTGTAGCTAAATCCTCCCACATGGCAAGACAGGTCTGGTGTTTCAGTATGGCCCTAACGTCTTCTGCTGTAATTTTCTTAAAACCAAGTATTTTTTCCCTTTCTTCTTCTAAATTATCACGCAAGATGCGTAATTGATTCAGAGACATAGAGCCTCCATCGGGAAAGCCAAATGAACTGCACCATATAGGCAAGCACTCCATAGCTTTAGATCCGAACCGTTTTTCCATTGCCATTGTAACGGGGGACGTCAACATTCCCCTCGGTGTGGCATCTCTAGATTGATTTTTCCCCATTTTCTCGTACAGAACAATGGGCCTAGCCTCGTTTAGTCTCTCCCTGCTCTTACTCACTTTGGAGCGATCCGTTCCCCCCCCGTTGGTTCAATACACCCAACGAGCGCGCGTTCTTGAAACGGACCGGGCCTGGCTGAAGGCACAAAGAGATCTCAGGGTCGCTTACAGAGCGATACTAACACGCAGCCGCTAGCTTAAATCTCATACCCTACACAAATGGCAATGAACAAAATACCCCAAAAATCCCGCACACAGTCTATGCTGTGGCAATGAATGAAATACCCCAAAAATACGTAAATAAATCAAATACCCGTGTACACTTAAGCGCTGCCCTGGGCTTGTTACGCAAATGAAAAGACAAAACTCACCAAATCAGGTTCTTTTATGGTCCTGTAGTCGAATAGTTTTTCCTGCGCGAGGCGAGCGGTGTTCCTCCCGTCTTCTCGTCAAACGCTAAGTGAGGTGGGGAGGCTGGTTTTTTGTCCCAGGTCGGCCAAACAACACACGATCGTCTCCACGCCGAAAAAAAAATCCGACATAGAACGTGCCAGCAACGCCAAATTGTTGTGGGAGTTTCTATCCAAAGTAAGGAAGAAGCTCGAAAGGTATTTGTCTTTCAGGAGCGTAAGTTTATTGTAACACACGTGCGGAGAACTCACATACACAAAGCAGCGTACATCAGTTCTGCGGGGCCAGTCCCAGGTCCCTGTTTACATAGACAACACATGAAAGACAGTCACGCCCACAAAAGATGGGAGGGGGTCACAGTTTGAGACGGGCATCCGGATGGCGAGGCGCCATGCCTGGTGAGAGACAATCAGATTGTGCCATGGGGATGCAAACAGAGGGACAATAGACATGCAGGATGTAAAAGGTCGATAGAGATGCAGACATACGGACCGATAGAGATGCAAGATGCAAAAGGGGCAAGGGTGAGAGTAGTAATAATTTGCGTCATTGTCTGTCGGTGCAGGGGGGAGCCCGGCTCCTTTCACTGTTAGTTACGGTAAAGGTGGAACAGGAAGCCGCGGGGATGAGCAACCAAAATGCAATGTTTGAAATTAATCATCACAGTGACCAAGTGCGCAGTGAAAGTAGTTGCAAAACTTAAAATTGTTTAAGAATTTTTATCCCCTCATCCCTCCGGCGTCCCGTTCTACGTTTACCGTCGTTAACAGCATAAAAGCGTATCCGTTTTTCGCTGTTCTTTTCCAAAAGAATTAGAAAAAACTTAATCTGTCCCCAGCGGGCCGTACAACCATCCACACAACAAGAATTGACCATTTAATTTAGTAAAACCTCTCTACAAACGTCTAAGGTAGCTAGCATCCAGGTAGCTGTCTATGCTGTTTTGCATCGACGTCACTCCAAGATCCTCCTATAACCAACACCTTTTTCACAAAGATAGAAATCCTGGTTTTATTCCTTGTTTTGTCGTTAATGATTTGAGAATCATAACGAGACCTTTTTTAGTTCTGCGCCACATGGTACTTTACCAGTGAGATTAGCTCCACATGGTACTTTACCAGTGAGATTAGCTCCACGCGGTGAGTTCTGGCGCCCGGATCACAGACTCTCTGATTGGTGAAACGGTGGAGGGCGGGACATCGAAATGAAAACAATAACAAGATTTAGGGGCTGGAAAACTAATTCTGAAATTCAAATATCTCTGAACTACTTTTATCAGTTAAAGAAGTATTGGAAAAGAGCATGTTTTATTAAAGCCTTTTGACAGATTAGGGCCCTTTAATGATGACTTGACATTAAAATCTTACATATTTCTACTTTAAAGCGCTGCACTGTTCCAACCAAATAAGCAAACACAATCAAATAAATCGATAATAATAATTACTAGATGTCAGATGATCAAACGAAGTATAAATGACTGCTTCATGGAAGGTGTCCACATGTACCTAACCTACACTCAGCTTATGTTTAGTGGAGACTTGAGCCTTACCTGAACCTCCTTCTGAAGCTTGCCGAGGCGCACAGTTCCATTCAATATCTTGCAGATAAATCGTTGTTTTTCTTGCTCAAGAGCTGATGCCTGGTGTGACAGACGAGTAAAGACAGGAGTTAGGAATGGACAAACAAACACAGGAGGTGGCAACAAAACAAGCAAGCTCTGGAATATGAAAGGGAGTCTGCGGAGTGGGAATAACAACAGGATGAGTATAAGATTTTAAATAAATCTACATCTTTTATATGCTCGCAGATCATATTTAAACATGTCCATTCATCCATCCATCCATTTTCTTCCCCTTAATCCATTTCTGGGTCAGGGGTGGCAGTCAGCAGCCACCCAATTCTCAAAGCACCAGCCCATGTACACATCATTTTGGAACAAAAGTTTAAACTAAAAATATCCCTAATTTTTTGTTTTTTGTTAGTTCTCTTTCATGGTGCATCAACAAAATATCACAATAATCCAGAAAATACAATATTAATACGTTCCATGAAAAGGAAGAACAGGAGTAGGATGAAGATATATAAACTATAGGATATATAGGATAGTCTATATATAAACTTGTACCCCATTCTTATATACAGAAATGTACAAATGAGACGGCCTAACCTTTCAATGGGGCTCTCGTTAGGGTTGCCATTTTCTTATTTATTTGTATTATATATGTATGATTCACAGAGTTTGTACTGTTTGAAGCTTATCTGATTCTGGCAACAAAAAGATTGATTATGTGCAATTAGTTGAATAAATATGCTGATTATTCGCTAATAATAAATTGAATTACATTAATCATTGCGGCGTTTGTAAAGTCATTATCGCAGTAAGTTCATTACCCAGAATGCCCTTCACATCGTTTTTACACCACAAAATGAAGATGAAGTGTTCGGTATAAACAACGTAAAAAAGGGCTGTAATTGACAGTAATTTTGGTGATTGATAAACCTGGTGATTAATTATACCAATAAATCACAAAATGAAAGTGAAAATGCTTTTTAATTTTTTATTTTTTATTTGACCCATTCGCACGAGTAACAACTCGCACAAATCCAGGGGAAATGATAGTTACTGAAGGTAACTAGGTCTGAAGGTCGTGGGTTCGAGCCCACCGTAAGACCTACTACACGACTCCCACTGATGACTGCTGTCGTTGTGTCCTTGGGCAAGACACTTTGCCTGAAGCTCCCACTGAAAGATCTCAGCTCCTGTGGACTCACCACCTGCAGGAGGATCAGTGAGGGGCTGGTGCTCTGTGGACTGGGTGGCATCTCAGGCCACCCCCCCGACCCAGAAATGGATTAAGGGGAAGAAAATGGATGGATGGATGGATGGATGATAGTTACTCTTAAGACCTAAGCCAATCAGATTCAATATATCCAGAGCATATCCAGTTCACTCCACTAGCAACCAGGAAGCAGTGGTGTAAACGGAGAGGGTCCAGCCTGGTCTTACCAAACCACAGTACGAATTTTATTTCGTACTAAGGTCTGGATTGGTTCCATTGAGTTCCATTAGCAGGTGGGGAGGGTTAACTCCTTTGGAAGATTGTAACAATAGGATCTAAGTTTACCGTGACATCTGTAATGCGCCCGAGTGAGTCGCTAACATTTAGCCTAGCTAGCCATCTCCTTTGCCGCTAACAAAGCCCGTGGGGAGTAGAGCCACAACATCTTTGCAGCAACGACATTTGCTAAACATTCCTCTTGCTCCGGCTTCAATTTTTTTATATTTGGAGCCGAACCAGAAAAGATTACTTTCGCATTCGCCACCAAACTACAACCTGCCAATCGGCGCAAACTCTTGACGTCACGACACCGACCTACAACACCCGCCTCCCCCACTCTCTGATTGGTCGGATGGGATTGAACCGAGGAAACTGCAGCCACTAGGATCAGACCCAGACGTACATGTAGGAAATGATAACTGACCAGAGTTTGCACATGGATGAGACCAGGCTACAAAGGAACCAATACACCAAACAACCGCCTAACTAAATGAGGAAGGAATGCTTTATGTAGCGGAGAAGCCAAAAACATTCAAGCTTCCAAAAGCAACAGTTAGCTAGTATTATGCACAGAACAATTACTTTTGGCTTTGCTGGGTGATTGTGTTTATATTGCATTCAAAAAACATTTCCACAAGCTGCTGCTTGTTTCTGTGGGTCAGCCAACGGTAAGAGTCATAAAACTCATACAGATCGTGACTTTTCATGTTAAACACTATATTATTTGATCTCTAAATTAGTTGACTGACTTTGCATTATACAGTATGTCTAACATCTGATGCATATAACGCTTGCAGCCACAAAGATAACTACTGTCCCTACACAGTATTCAGTGAAGTGTGGATCTGCAGTACACTGAACACTCCAAGACCATGAGAAATACCATGTGCAACAGGTGGTTTCTCTCCAGGGAAATGTGCTCTGCTACCGAGACGACGGCCTCCAGGTAATGTTGAGTCTTCTCCTCTTTCAGCACCGATTCTTCTTTCTGTTGCCTCAATAAACTCAGCTTCTCTTCAGCCTTCCTGCATAACAGATACACACGACAAATGATACTGAGGGGAGATCAACAGCTGCAGAACAAAAGGAAAAAGACTCATTTGTCACTAATCAAACACCTAAGCCTCAGCCACTCCACAGGATGCCGCCCGGACAGTTTCATGTTCAATAAATCATGCTGTGTTGGGAAAAAATATGAGATTGGGGGACACAAAAAATATGATTTCTGAACCACTATTTACATCACCTGCAGATATTGAGTTTTCTTCAATGAGATCCGTGTTTATGTTACACTCTGACATGTTTAGACTGCAATCAAACTGAGGGAAGTCATGTAATGTTGCTGTAACGGCGTATTTGTCCTTTTTAGAACCGT